CTTCTACCTTCCCAGGTGAGACATGGGGGGGTCCTGGGGATCCCCACCTATGGCCATGGCTGATGCTAGAGGTGTTCTCCTGCCCAAGTCAGTCGTTGCTCTAGAAGCAAGGAGTAAGCAGGGGAACCATCCAGGGGCTCCCCGTGACTCCAGCCTCCTGGAGCAGACCTAGGTGTTCTGGCTGAGCATGAGGGTTGGTTACCTTGACCCCTTGGAATCTAGGCAGTCCTGGGGTCAAGGGTGACCCCTTTAAGGGTTCTTCCATCCTTGCTTGCGGCCCAGGAGGAGAGCAGAGCCCCACCTGGGCCACCGAGCGAGCGTGGCAGGGAGGCACAGCAGACCCACGTTCACTCCTCTGCCTTCGGAAGCGGTCAGGTTGGTTTAGGACAACCGGCCTCTCTCTCCCAGGCAGGGGTGTGTTGTGTGGGTCTGAGGAGCCCCTGGAACTGGCATCGCGCTGCCTGCACAATGTGGGCTCGGTGATCATTCATGGGACAAACAAATGACAAATAGGCTGTGAGCAGATCTGGGGCTTCCTGGGCGCCTGGTCCTGAGTGTCTCTGGAATCTTCCGTGCATCTGGTTCTGGTCAAGGCGGCCTTACTGTTTGGCCTAGGAATGCTCTTAAATGAACAGAGGTTCTTGAACCCCCTCCTCCAGGCCCTCTTTGGAATGTATTTACAGCTCTGGGAGGTCTGCTGCAGGAAGCTCCTCGAAGCTCTGCTCAGACTAAAAGAGAACATGCAGACAGCTGGAGACAGGGACTCTGCAAGAGGTGAAGTGGAGGCTTTTGGTAATGAGGCTCCAGGCAAACTCTGCCCCGCGCAGCCTCCCCTGTCCTTCGCTGCACACGTCTGCAGTGCCTGATGTGTGTCAGGCCTGGGGGCAGGTCACAGAGCTGACCTTGTCCAGTCCCTGCCCTGCTCCCCCAGCAGAGGCCAAGTGAGAACATTCATTACAGACGAGGGGTGCTATGGAGCCCTGCCGATGTGCTCAGCGGCTTGAACACACCCTCACACAGCACTGACTCTGGGCTGGGAACAGTTCAGAGCGATCAGCACCTCCCTCATCCCCGTGTTAGAGGCAGAGAAACCAGCAGGCAAACCAGAGAAGTCACACGGCCAGGGAACGGCAGGAGGCAGGGTCCCACCCAGACCTGTGCATTAGCTACACAGGAACAGCATCAGCCACAGTGACAACTAACGGTGAGGCCCGAATCTCACAGAAACCCTCCCACTGGCCTGTAAGGGGACATGTCTGAGCCTGCCAGGCAGGAGCTGGAGGTCACGTGAGGGCCCCTCATGAGGGCAATGTGATGAGGCCGAATCTGAAGATTGCACACTGGGGAAACTGAGGAACAGCAGAAGCCACACTCCAGAAAGAAGGAGTGGAGGGTTCAGAAAACCACAGAAGTGAGTGGGAAACAGGAGCTGGAGGGTGGTTGCAGGAGGCCGTATCCCGCCCTTCATCTGCAGGAAGAGCCCACGCTCTGCTCTTGACTCTGCACTGTGACTTACTTGCTGACCCTTCAGCTCTCTGCACTTCAACTTCCCCAAATATATAGAGGGATGAAATCAGCACCTCCCTCCCTGTAAGGTTCTCAGAGCAGAGCTTAGCACATAGTTCATGCTTCATACTCGATTATTAAATCAAAACCCTCACTACATATTTTACAAAGATACATACGGATGGCAGGAGTTCAAGGATGCAGGTCCTTGCTGTTGGGGGTGGGGGGTGGGGAGAGGCATGGAGAGCAGGGGGGAGGTGGAGTGAGGAGACAAGGCTATGTGCAGATGGGGCCCTGTATGGCCCCCCTTCCTTCCCTCCTTCCCCCTTCCTACGTTCCCTCCCCCTCCTCCCTTCCCTCCCCCTTTCCCTCTTCCTGCCTTCCCTCCCTCCCCCTTCCCTCCTTCCCCCTTCCCTTCTTCTCTCCCTCTTCCCTCCTTCTCTCCTCCTTCCCCTCCTTCTTTCCTTCCTTCCCTCATCGTCTGTACATCCCCTCAGCACCTCCTCACCTGCTCCACTCGTTCACCTGGCCGCTCGCTCAGTGTGTCTTGGGCATGCACCGTGCTGCGTTCTGGGCGGCTGCCGGGGATATGGCCCAGAGAGGAAGACGTGGGGCTGGTCTTGCCCTTGCACCTCACCATCTATGAGACCCCCCAGGGCCTGTGTCAGCAGAATGGTCAGGGAAAGGAGACATGGATGCAGAGAACAGATGTGGAGCCCAGCCTGGGACAGCTTGGGAACTGGAACATTCCAGACAGTGGACCCATCTCTGCACGCATTCCTCCATCTGCCCACCCGTCTGTCCATTTACCGTGTTCATTCATTCCTGCACCCACCCATTTATTTGTCCCACACTTGGCCTGCTGGAAGAAAGCCTTGTTCTGAAGCCGCTCAGGTCTGAGTTCCGATCACGATTCTGCCGCGCCTGCTGAATGCTGCCACCCGGCACTTCCTCTCCCCAGGCCTCAGTTTCCTCATCTGCAGGATGGGGATGGGGCCAGAGCGGGATCTGAGAGGAGGCTTTGGTGGGACATCGAGTGTTACTGGAACATGGTGGATGCCCCATAAATGGCAGCTAGAGTCCCAGTCACCACCAGCCAGTTGCTTAGAGTTTGTCCAGCTCGCGTGCAGGAAGTGTCTGGCCCTGCACCCCCACCCACCAAGGCGGACCCCAGCCACACACCCAGGCTGCACCATGAGCTCTTTCAAGATGCCGGACCCCTGAAGCAGGATGGACATAGGGCGACCCAGTCATACCGGTCCATTCCGACGCCACCATTCACAAATGCCGGGACACACCTACCTGGCTCGTGCACTAACACAATCCTATTTCTTTACACAAAGGAAACCGAAGTACAGAGAGACTGTTGGTTGTCCAAGGCCCTCCAGTAAGTGGCAACACTCTGCCTGAGTCACTGTGTCACCTCTCTCCAGGTGTCACGGGTGCTGAAGGCTGGCAGGTTCCAGGGGGACCAGCTGGGCCGCCTGAGGCTTCCCCAGCAGGAGCACGTGAGCAGCACCGTATCATGCTTTGGCGTGTCTGCTCCAATTGCTCCCCACCAACAGATTTCCCAAAACGACCCAGCATTCTCTGGGTTCTGCTTGGCTCCTAGCAGAGAACATCGAGAGCCTTTGGCAGGTCAAGCTCACTCACTTGGAAGTGTCAGATCCTGACTCTGCCTTGTCAGTCAGGGTTCAGATTCTTGGGATCCAGCCCCACACCTTCCACTAAGTTAGTGTATGCCCTCAGATCAGCTAGCAACTCTGACATTCCACTCTGTCTCCCTTAGGGTCATCAGATAGCTCATAGCATGGAACCGATCTGCACCTGGTGTTCATCAAAGGGTCACCGAACCTGGATTAGCACCTAACACCTTGCGTGACTCCTTTAATGACACTTGTTGACCATACTTGCTTCATGGGACTTATTTTGAAGAGCAGCAAGTAAGTTTATAAGAAGGAAGCAAGGATTCACATTTATAGAGCAGTCTCCATGTAACATACCCCCCCTCCTTGGGCACTTGATATGCATGATTTTTGTAAAGCCCCATGTAACAGTTAGGAGATTTTGGCACCAAGGAATAAAATATCTAACTTCAGCTTACTCAGTAAGTCACTGAATTAGCTCATGTGACAGAAAGTCTGGAGGTAGCTGCTCCAGGTTTGGTTCAGTAATACCATAAAATCCCAAAGCCCCAAGCTCTTTTCCTCTTTCTGCTCTACCATCCTCAGCACGTTGGCTTTTCATCCTCAAGCTTGTGCCTCTTGTACCCAATATGACTGCTGCAGCTCCAGCCATCAACTCTGCACACAAGGTAAAAAGAATGAGTAGAGAATAATCTCCTTCCAAAGGATTCAATCTTTTCTAGGAGCCCTCTTGAGGGGTCACGTCTATGGTCACAAACCTACACCACCACTAAGCAGCCATGCATGCTCCACGTCCCCTTGTAGAGGCTGCAAGGAAAAGAGAAGAGAGGGAGTGACTGCTACGGGAAGCACAGGGATGGGACCTTGCTGGGGTGTGAGAGGACCCGCAAGGCGGCCGGCATGGTCAAGTGTAGCACAGGGAGAGTGGACAGAGAAGTGTGCGGGGAGGTCTCGGACGCCTCGCCAGGACTGGGGATTCCGCGTAAGTCACTGGGCAGGCTCGGGGAGGCTGTAGCCAGGAGGGATCTTGGTTCAATTTTCCAAGGTTCGCTCTGATGGCTCTGGGAAGTCCTAGAGGACATAGACAATGGGTGTCGGGAGGGGAGGCTGGGGGCCAGTCAGGAGGCAGTTGCTGAGATCCCCACGGGGATGAGGGGGCTGGAAAAGGGTAGACGGGGCCCCAGAGGAGACCCCTCACCTGTGTGGCAGTGTCCAGCAGGGACCAGGCGAGGCATCCGAGCCCACCAGTGATAACAAGCGCCCAGACGTGGAGAGACAGCGCCAGCACCAGAAGGGCCTCTCGGGCTGATGATAGGAAACAGGAACGGCTGTGAATTGGCCGCCACGGCTTTAATTGGTCCTGGAGGGCTGATGAGAACCTGAGCCCCAGAGCTGAGGTCATTTGTAAATTCCTATCATTTCTAGATGGCTGCTCTCAGAGCCACCCTCCTTTGCTTGCAGCCAGGGAGAGAAGAGTGAATGATGGCAAATGAAAACCAGAAGTAGGAGCAGTCTGAAGAAACGGGAGGGAGTTTACTTCTCTCCGCTGGGAGCACGTTCAAAGCCCCCCGCCAGCCTGGGGTAAGGGTATCCCCGCCTCCACCTTGAGCCCTCCTGCAATGTCCCCCTCCCCACCTTGGTGAAATACCTCGGCAGGATGACCCCAGCTCCCTCTGTGCGAATTCACTGCCCCAGTGTGAAATCATAGCCCTGTAACTTTCCCTTTAAGAGCTGTCAGAGCCCGAGAGGCTGGCCAAGCTTGGGCTGGAGGTGGGGACAGAGGGAAGAAAGGAAAAAAAAAGAGAGAGAGAGAGGCAGGAAAAGTTTTTTCAGAGGAAAATGCAGGGTTTGTCCTAAACTCTGACGTCAGATCTTGCTTTAATAACCCCCCCCCAGGGCTGTGGGAAGCGGCATATCTCCTGCTCCTGATGGGCCAGGCCAGTCTCTCGGCCCAGCTCCCCCGAGAGGCGGCCGGATCCTCTGGGCGGCTCGGTCGATGCCTTTGCCCCTGACTTCCAGGCATGAGGTGGCTCCTGCCCTGGACACTGGCAGCGGTGACAGCAGTAGCCGCGGGAAGCGCCCTGGCCGCGGTGAGTCCCGCCTGCAGGGGCTTACAGAGGGGCCCCCGATCCCATTCTCCAGCCCGTTCTGCTACACGGGTGGGCAGATCGAGAGGGGCTGGAAGTGTGGGGGCAAGCTGGCGCCCACGTAGGGGCCAGGGCGAAGCCCGGGGGGTGGGGGGTGGGGCTGTGCGGGGTCAGCTGGTGGAGTCGGGGGAGGGGGCAGCCCCTGGGGGGCGGACAAAGCAAACAAGTGGTCCACGCCCTTCTTTCCCACCTGAAACTCAGCAGAAAGGGGCACTTGTTGGAGCGGGGAGTCGGGGGCCTGGACTCCAGTCCCAGCTCTGCCCAGACTGGCCGTGTGACCTTGGGCCAGTCACTCATCCCCGCGTAGTGCTAAGCGAAGACGCTGGCAGGAGACTTGTAAAGTCTTGGGTTTGGAACGTGAGTCTCCAAGTGCTGGGGATACTACACGGAGAGGAGTCGGAAAACACCCATAGAAGCTGGAAAGGAAAACGCCAGCTTTCAACACAAGCGCCTCTCTTGAGCAAACATTGCTTGGGGTGGTTTCCACCCCCGACTGCTGGTGCCTCCGCTGGCACAGCCCTCTACAGCTTATGAAGCGTGCGCCCTGGGGCCCTGCACGTGACACCTGCTCTTTCGGGGGATCCCGAGGGTTCTCTCTCTCCTCTGTCTAGCCCAGGCACTCCGAAGGGAAGGGGGAAGGGTCCGCACCTCCAAGAAGCACGCAGCCTGCTGGCTGTGGGTTAGAGGCAGACCCAGGGCAGGCAGGAGGTGGGCAGCTGGGAAGAACTGAATCCAAGACCCCACAGCCCCGGCCAGTGCCTTCTGCCAGTAGTAAAGCCGAGAGACAGAGGGAAGGCGTCAAGAAGGATTTCGTTACCCACTCCCAATGACAGCTTCCTTGGGGATCAATGCGCCCCATTTGTGGATGAGGGAGCTGAGGCTCAGGGGTAAAGCGACTCGCCCACGGGCTCAAAGACACTGATTCTGACTCAGCCAGATCTGAGGCTGAGAGCTGGTGGCCGACCACAGCCCGGTTGCCTCTGGACCTGGGGGATGGAGGTTCCTCCAAGCACCGCAGTAGGTTTAAGGAGGGCAAGGAGTTTATCTGTGTGATTCATTGTGAAATCCTTTGAACCTTGCATGGTGCCCACCGTGCTACAAAAGGAGATACTAACTTCATTTTACAGAAGAAAGAAATGGAAGCTTAAGGCAAGCAAGGAACTTGTTCAGAGTCTCACAATGAATAAGTGGCCAGCGCTCCAATTTAGATCTTCCCCTGCCAAATCCTGCTCTTTCTTCCAGAGCTTTCCTAGCTGAGGGGCAACCAAGCATTTCCTACAGACTAGAGCAACCACGAGGAGCTGAAGCAGTCTTTATTGGGGGTTGCTATGGCTGGAAGGACAAGGGGTGGATGGAGGAGAGGTGAGATGTGTAGGGTAGCAGGAGTCTGAGCAAGGAGAAGGAAAGAAGCTGTAGGCAGGGCCAAGTACACGGGAGCCCGTTACCTCCCAGAGCAGGAGGTGCTGGGGAAGAAAGGGGTCCAGATCCCCGGGCTCAGCTATGGGCCATGCAGCATGGGATCCAAGAGTCCGGACAGACCCAGACAGCAGACTGAAGGGGAGGCTCGGGACCTCTCTTCTCTGCAGCTCCCCCTCACCCCGAGGACCTTCTCTGGGCACCCAACACGACCCAGCCCACACTGGTGTCCAGATCCAGGAGCTCCCAGACAAAGGGAGCTCTCAGAGCATCCTGACGCCCCCAGCGAGGGCTGTGAGACAGATGGCGACCAGGTCTTTGCTTTCTGGCCAAACTCCATACATGGCCGTCCTCTGCTCACTAATATATAATAGGAATGCAAGTTCCCTCAGGCGCCCAGTGGGAGTTTACTGGAAAAATGATTATAGATGTTCATATGGAAGAAAAGGTTGTGAGAATTGCCAAGAAAAAACTTTGAGGAAGTAGCGTTCTGAGGGAAGACTTGCCCTATTGGATAGTAAAAAATTATCTAAAAGTTCTGTAATTGAAGGAGCAAGATGCCAACCAGGAAGAGAGAAATTGAGGAGGACAGGGCAGTGAGCTCAGAAACTCAGCCAAGTCGACTTGGGAACGTGAACTATGATAAAGGTGACTACAGATACGACTGGTTTTTCCATCTCTTTGTTCTTTTCTTCCTTCTACTGGAGAGTATCCACCCTGCGCCACGAGAAAGGGGCTGCATTTAGTGGGTGTTATCACGTCCCGTGCCAAGTGCTCTATATGTATGCCGATAAGACCTTCCTCGGATCATGCAACAGACATTCACTAGCATTTATTGAACACTTCCTGAAATCGTCATAGCAATACCCTGAAGCAGATGTGACGAGTCCTCTTTGTAGGCGCCGAAACTGAAGGTCTGAGAGGTTCAGTAATTCGCCCAAGGCCACACAGCTGGTAATGAGTAGGGTTGATTTTGAACCTTGGTCCTGTGCTTTGCCATACCGCCTGCTGGCTCCCTGGTGCGGGTACTTGCCGAGAAATGAGAGGTTTCTGCCCAGAAACACAGTTTCTGCCCCTATAAAGTGTACGGGCTAGAGACAGAGGACAGCCACCCACATGTGGGGAAGCGAGGCGGCAGGGGTGGAGTCATCCAGGAGAGAGAGGTTGGGTATAAGCTCTGTCCCTGGCTCTGCCTGTGGCCGCAGGACCCTTGACTACTGGGGGCCTCCCCGTCTTCTCTTGTTCATCGGGGCTCAGGACCTCGACCCTACGCAGCTCCCTGCCGCTGCTGGGGAGTGACCACAGGGCTGCGTCAGGGAAGCCTCTCAGAAGCCCGTGACTGGGTAAACAAATTATGTGCCAGGAAATTAATTCCTGGACACACATTAGGTCCGTGGTAGTCAGTGTGCAGGGGCGACCCCCGCCCCTCCTCCCGTGCAAATGTACGTGGGGATGGGCACAGGTGTGTGCACGCACGGGTATCTGACATCGCGGCTCGTCTGAGTGTGCAAGTCGCCATGGTGTGTGTGAATGCACAGGGATGCACGTGGAGGGTATGGAATGCAAGCTCATTCTCCGCTCCTAGGACCGACCGCAGAGCAGCGTGGCGCAGGACACGGCATATCCCTCTTAAAAATGTGAGAACAGATGATACGCCTTCTTTACATGTCCTGTCCATAGCTTTGGACCCGAGCCAGCCTTTCAAACCCCACCCCAGGCCCCTGCTCGGAGCCTCTTCCTGCAACTTAGAGGCTCTGCTCACAGCCGCGGCCCCTCCCACTCGCCGCTTGTCCAGGATGCTGGCGGGAGTGCGGCACGGACAGGCGTTTTCCACCTGGCACGGCGCTTGGCAAAGCCTCACCCTCTGGAATGGGCATGGGAGCAGTGCTCCTCGGAGAACCAGACCCTGACCATGGGCGGGGCAGTACCTCTGGCCCGTCAGCGGACTCACCTCCCCCAACGTTTAGAAAAGGCCCCTGCCCCATGCCAACAAAGCAGCCAAACGCCAGGAGGCTGCCTTTGGCTGTGTACAAGGATTTGTGCCTGGGATTCCTCCCAGGAACCTTGGCCATCTCTCTGGGCAGCAGGGAGGGGCCGCTGCACATGCTGTGGGTTCCATATGGGAGCAAGGAAAGTAAGACAGCAATGGTCCACACTGGGCCCCCGGGGGGGGGGCTGGGAGGCTTGCCAGCCACAGCCGGGGAAGCAAAGCAAGGAAGGAAGTTTTGAGCAAGAACTATAGAATGCTGCGAATGTCTAAGAGTGAGGTTTCGGCATATCATACATTCATTCAATACCTCTGGAGCTCCCCAGGCCTCAGTAACACTGATGATAATGAAGGAAAACACTGCTTAAGTGCTCTCTATGTGTATCAGCTCAGTTGAAAACCACACCTATGAAGCAGACAGCAACATCCTTATCCCAGCACAGTCCAACGTGGCCGCTCACCACATGAGGCCGCCGAGCGCCGGAAATGTAGCTCATCCCATGTGAGATGTCGAACACATACCATATTTCAAAGATTCAGTATGAGTACAAGAACATCACAGGCTCACTGTAATTTTTCTATTGACTCCATGTTGAAACAAGAATATTTCTAATATATTGGGTTAAACAAATAGAATATTTTCCCTGGTTTCTTATTTGTTCTTATTGGTTTTCAGTGTGGCTGCTAGAAAATATAAAATTCCATAGATGGTTCACATTGTGTTTTACTAGACAGTGTTGGCCTGGGAAAACGCAAGTGTATGTAGGTGGATTTTAGTAGGTGGGGAGGGAAAGATATTGAGGGTTCTAATCCCAGCTCCTCCACTGAGCCAGTTTCTTCATCTGTGAGAAGACGTAATATCAGTACTTGCTTCCTTCGGTTATTGAGAAGATTAAGGAATGAAACAGAGATAAAGCACATGAATCCCCAGCACACCCAAGGGGAGGTGGGACATGATTCACTTCGCTCCAATAGCAGCGATGGGGGCATCCCAGCGTGACTGGAAGCACTGGCTGCAGACAAGTGCCAGGTCTGAACAAGTGAGCAGGGCTTCATAAAGACCCCAGACTCAGCACCAGGTGGGCCAGAGGAAGGGCAGATTTACCTGTGGGCTGTGCTGGGCTCAGGGCTGAGTTGGTCTCCTGAAGCACCCAAGCTTTCCACATCCTGGCCAGCTTCCCAGCACATTTCGAGGGAGTCGAGGAACATGTTTGGATTATCACGTAGGAGAGAGAAATACTAATGGTGGCTGTGATGAAGATGATGGTGCTGATTGATGGTGGTGGTGATGAAGGTGATAATGATGATGATGGTGGTGATGATTGTGGTGATGATGATGATGTTGATGATGTTGATGATGATGATGCTGTAGAGATGGTGATGGTGGTGATGGTGGTGATGATGGTGATGATGATGATGATGATGATGGTGGTAGAGATGGTGATGGTGGTAGAGATGGTGATGGCGGTGATGATGTTGATGATGATGATGATGTAGAGATGGTGATGATGGTGATGATGATGTGATGATGGTGATGATG